GGTACTTGGATGTTGCTGTCTTCCTTGCCTCCTCATCATGGTTTCCATGTAACTATGGGATACCAAGGCATTTGTAGCTGGTCTGTATGTCTGTTGTGTGGCCCACTGGTAGTTCCACTCTTGAATTTGTATCTATATCCAGTCCTTGTGATTATCTGGTTGAGGGTGTTTAAGCCTGTGCAGAACAGCAGTGGGGACAGTGCATCACCTTGGTATGTGCCGCACTTGATGGCCACTTGTGGGAGCTGTATTTAATTGACTTTGTATAGTGTGAGGCATTCACAGATCCATGTGTGTGGCATTGAGTCATAGGCTTTCCTGTAGTCAATCCAGGGTGTGCTCAAATTGGTCTGCCTAGACCTTGAGTCTTGTGTGACTGCTGTGTCTATGAGCAACTGGTGTTTTGAGCCTCTGGTGTTGTTCCCAATGCTCTTCTTAGCTGTGCTCGTGTACTGGCCCATATGGTCCTATAGCTTGGCAGCTGTGATTCCTGATAGGACTTTCCGTGTTGTGGGGAGGCAGGTTATTGGCCGGTAGTTGGATGGTGCTCTTTCTTGCGCGGGTCCTTCATGATCAGCACTGTCCTTCCTTCTGTTAGCCGGTCTGGGTGGGAGCCTGCTGCTAGCAGCTGGTTCATGTATGCTGCTACACATTCATGCACTGCTGTTAGTTTCTTTAGCCAGTAGGTGTGGATCATGTCCGGGCCAGGTGCTGTCCAGCTCTTCATGTTCTTGATCTGCTGTTGGATGTCTGCTACTGTGATAGTGACTGGTTCCTGTTCTGGCAGATTATTGTGGTCTGCTTTCAAGTCCTGCAGCCACTTTGCACTGCTGTTATGTGTCTTCTCTTTCTCTCATATGTTCTTCCAGCACTGTTTCTGCTGTCGGGGGCTCTGCTGTTACTGTGTTGTTGTACTGCAGTTGGGAGTATACCTTGGATGGTTCTTTGGAGAATATGGAAATTATCTTCTTGGCCTCTGCTTCTCTAGTGTAACACCTTAGCCTAGCAGCCAGTGTTGTGAGCCTTTGTTTAGCAGTCTCTAGGGCTTCAGATGGAGTCAGGCCCATGTATTTTTTCAGTAACCGAATCGTATCCTTAATCTTCACACCCTTCTGTAGTTCTACCAACTGACTAACGTCTCTCTGAGTTGCCTTGATCTTAGCCTCCAACCTCATTTTCCAGGGGGAGGGTGTGTACTGCTGTTCTTCTTGATCATGTACCCAAGCATCTCCAGGATTACTGCAGCTGTAGCATATACCAGTTCATTGGTTTGAGTTATGTTGTTGGTAGGGATTGCCATGAAGGCTCTATTGGCATCTTCTAGCATACTATCTGATGGTACATCTCCACTGAGCCTTACCCTAGCAGCCAGTGTTGTGAGCCTTTGTTTAGCAGTCTTGTTAATTGGTCTCGAGGGTTGACCACAGTTTGTTTATCCATGATCGTATGCCTTATATCAGCTGCTGTACTCTGTAATGGAGGGGGTGGCAATGACATTCCAGCTTCATGTGTTGGCTGCACATCCACTTGTTCTTCCGGGTCTTCTTGAGTCTGGGATGTAATGTGTAGTTGGTCTATCTCAAGTTGTGAGACTAGCTTCCTCTTTACTATGTTGAATCATTGGGTAACTAATTGTTTCTTAGTTAGTGTGTATGTAGGTCTTCCGTCCAGCCATAGTTCCCTCATACTTTTCATATATTCCCTCTCATTAGGTCTATTGTAGTAGCATTCCATCAATTCCAGGTTCTCTGGTCTCATCCATGTATGGTTTGTTCCAGTAGCCCACTAATTGTCAGATTGTCCTGGTTCCCCAACATCTGGCACGGACCTTGTTAATCCAGATGACATCTGAGCCGGCATGACTCTGTTAGTTCGTGTCATTCTCATATTTGAGGTAGGCAGGTGAAGTGTTAGGGGGTCTTTCCCTAAGGACCCGTACTGGTAAGGTAGGTACCAGCCGGAATTTGAACCCCAGTCTCCCATGTCAGAGGTGGTGTTCTGACCACTACACTATCCGGCCATGTTAGTTATTTTTATTTACATACATACATACATACATATATAAATAATAGGGAGACAATATTTTGTTGTATTACGAATCACTAAATAGTCAGAATTAGATACCAGTGTTTCATTACATAATAACAGCATTTCTTGCCTATATGAAAATAACTTATTAAAAATAATGTTTGGCATAATACTATTAGCTCAGCATGAAAATCACTTTCTGTAGCAGTGCTTATAGCTTCAGAGTTTTAAAAAGGAATATACGTATTTTTGATTCTTAACACAACAGTTTGCCATTTTTTCCAGAATGGTAAGTTTTTTTGTCCCTTGCTTTAGTTTCTCTAATGTTTTGATTAATAATCTATTAAAATAACTGATACAAGAATGATTGCTAGTAGTAATTTTAGCAGAGGTATTATTCCTTGCACAGCAATTAACAATTACTGTACAAAAATAATGTATACATTTGTTTTTGTTTATGCTTGCAGCAAAACCATCAGGAATTATTGAGCCATATTTATAGGTAGAGAGGTGAGAAACTTTAAGGTGAGAGCTAACAATTTGTCGAAGGCAATCACTGAAACCATGAACAATGTCAGATTTTGAATCACGGCCTTCTCAGTCTGTATATGTTAGCCGTTGACTTCTGATCTATTAATTTTTCTTTTTTTATTTTCTAAGAAGGAACAAAGACAACAACGTGTAGTCATTTAAATAAGTTACCAGATCTAAAACAATGCCATTGTCAATTGCATTCATTAAAAGTAAATTTAATGAGTAATACACAGAGTAATACAGGTACTGTAAGTGCAGCTCTATTAATCTATTGATATTTTAGACAAAGGCAAAGCAACATGGGCACTGCTTTATTTTTATTGTGCTATTCTTAATTTTTAAGATTCAATTTTCTTAACAAATTGAAAGTGATGTTAGTGAAATCTAATCAGCACTTAGCAAGAAGTAGTAGTCACATTAGACAGCCAGTTCTTAGGTTTAAGAGCTATTTTCCCTGAAGCTAAGTTTAGGATAAAAACAGTAAATAAGATGTGGACAAAATCCCCATATTTTCTTTTAAGAAGCTATCATGGTTTATGTGCAATTTAAATCTGTAGTTAGATTTGTATCTCCTCTATGTGGAATCCTTAAGCAGAAGTTCCAAGTGATCTAAATGGCTTCTTTATTGAAAAGTGATAAAATTTTGTAATCTAACCTGGCTACATATACAGTACGTATTGATTTCACAAATGATTTGGTTCCATTAGGTGATTGCAGCTATGTTTGAAAACAGATTGTAGAGAATAATTGCCAAGAAAAATAACTTTTCATATGCCTTCTTTAACTGCTGATATGGGGTAGAAAAGAAAAAAGAAAAAGATAATGGATATAGAATTCTTTTTAGAAGGAAAAAGCTATTAAAGTGTGTATCAGTGCATACCAAGAACGATTTCCCCCTTCAAGCTGCTTTTTCAGCAGCATGCCCTGAACCTATTCAGACACTCTTAGCTTTTCCCCTATAATTTAAAAGTGTATTTCATTTATATGGTATATACTTGATATAGCTACATTCGTTGGACAAAAATCATTCACTATTTGAGACAGATAACCATTATTAAAATATAGTGCTTACACTATTTTTCTTTCATATTGGGATAAAAATTTAAATTGTTGTGAAATTGTGCCATTAGCAAAATGCAAAAGTCAATCAGAGTTCTTTTTGCAAGGGTGATGAAGGAGGAGGAGAAGTAGAATATGAAATTCACTAGAGCTGTCAGTTGCTATATTTAACTTCCCAGAGTTCTCCAGAATATTAGTATTTCATACTTGAGCAAGGTTCCAAGAAGATTCTGTAAACAACGTTCCTATACTGGCCACCATGCAAATAGCAACTATCAGTGTAGGCCTTCTTCTGAGAATATCTTTGGGACTCTCTGCACATTATGATATAATTCTACCATTACAGGATTATGTATGAGAATGGCAGTTCGGAGAGTTAGGGATTTGGGATGTTGTTGGATTGGACTGTTTGCTTTGCATTCCACAATTTTTTTGCCAAACTTTTGAATTTATATCACAAGTAATATGTATAATTATATTGTTCTCTTTTTTAAAAACCGGATAATAATCAAAACCTCTTTTTTTCCATAGGGTAAATCTAAGATCACGCTTCAGTTAAACAAACAAAAAATACTATTTAACATGTCTTTTTGCTTATCTGAGCTTAACATTAAATATGAGAATTTGAAACATGACTTACATAATGTGATGATGATCCCAAATCAATCCACTGCAGAATGTAGGCCTGCTCATTGAAAGTCCATTCATTATGAACCATAATTTACTATGTCGGTCTAGTGTGGGTTGGTAAATAGATGCTTTGCAACTTTTCAATCTAAGGCTGAGAGAGACTGACTGATCTCAAATCACTCATCCATGCCCAAAGGAGGACTAGAACCTGGGTTTCCCTGCTCCTACTTTAGGTACTACACCAAACTGACTCTCAGACAAAGTGATATAGTGATAAAAAGGGAAACTGCAAATCCTTCTACTAATCTTATCAACATTCTTAGTTTCTTCCAAACTTCATGTCTCATCTGAGGAAAAGCTATCCAATTTGCTTTACTTGATTTTTAAGTTTTGTAAGCCCTAAACACTTTAAAAAGTAAGCATCCAAAAAAAAGTGCAATGATTGCTTCCCACTATTTCAGAGTTTATCATAACCTTTATAAAGTGGTGCTTCTGTTGATGCTACAAAGCACCAAACACAGTACTGATAGCTAATAAAAGAGTTCATCTTAATTAGCAGTACATATATGTTTGTGTTTAATATTAATTTCAGATAGTACTATGTTTTTATAACCAGTTGGTTCTGCTTTGAAGATGTTATTCTGCATAGAAGCTTTTAAATATATAACCCTTATATAAACCTCACTGTTTCATTTTGTTTCATTTGCAGAGGTTACTATATAGTAATTGTGCCTTTGATAAAGAAATCAGATGGAAAATTCATGAAACCACGCGAGAGCCCAGATGAAATGGAATTAGATGAGGTACCCTGTATTTATTTTAGCTCTTTTTTCCATAGAAACCTTTTCGGATTGAAGCAGTCTTAATGATTGTGTCCAATTAATGTATTCATGTCAGCAAGTTGACTTTTTTATACTTTGTCATTTATATGGAGTTAGTTTCTGGGAGCAAACACAAAAAGCTAATTACGTAAATTAAAATACATTAAGTTGCAATGAGGCACATAAACTGTCTGATCTTTGTTGTCATTAATATTTTATTCCTTGCTGATTGTAAGGCATAATGTAGAAAGCGAAATGACTTGTCAGCAAAAGTATAATCACCATTGATATGAACTCCAATAAAGGTCTGGTTCATTAATGGGGTGTTTGCTAAAGCTGAATCAAATGCTAAATTGCAATTTGCTCTGCTGTTTAACATTTGACCTCCCTCATAGTCTCTTTACCTGTTTCAGCTATGCTGAAATACTTCTAATTAGAGAGTGTATCTATTATTTTTAAATTCTTGTTCCCTGCACACCAGAATTAAACTTAAAGTAAAAGAAAAAAACACTTTCCATAGTCTCAGAATGATAAATACGTTGTTGAGCCAGAAGATGTATTTAGTCAAGTTCTGTCATGCTTATTGTGAAATAATTAGTCAGTTACATTAGAATCTTAAAGTATTTTGACATTTGAGATTATTAGATTTTGCCATTTTTTTTCTCCTAAATACATCTTACTTTAGAGAGAGATGGAGAATTTAAAAATAGCAGTCCTGTCTAGAGATATCCATGTAAGGTTGGTATAATAGTCAACTATGTGTTAGTTGGAGATGGCCACAAAAATTGATTCTGGAAATCACCTATTTTCAAAGAGGTGTGGAATCATTTAATTCATATTACATTTTCACAAGCTGTCACACCCTCAAGAATACAAATATGACATTATTTGGCAAATCACCTTCCATATATTTTAATATATCCCCTGGGATGGATGTGTCTGTTTTTCCTTATGATAAAACTTGTTCATTGGGTACATTTACACGCAAAGACAGTAGGATAACTATCATAATGATATTTGTGTTGTTGGAATAGAGAATGCAAATTTATTCCTAGTAAGTTTTGCATTATCAGTATTGGAATGTCTGAAAGTAAAGGCTTATGGCATGTGAAACTCTACATTTTCTTTTACTTGGTATCCAATATCTAAGGTATTCAGATAAGGAGATTTATGCAGTGATTGATTGAATTACATTGTGTATAAGGCTGATCAGAAACAGTGTTATTGTCCAAACGGCAGAAATTCATTCTATTTTTAAGAAGACTGACTACTCTTAAACTAGTATTCTTAGGTACTTGAAAAATAAATATGTTAAGTCTTGGATGTAATTGTCATGTTTCAGATGTGATGATTTTCTTCATCATGCAATGACTAGGGTCTCCTATACGACAAATTCAAACAGTATTTCGTGGGTTGTTGTTGGTTTCTTTTTAGTTTCTTTTTAATTGTTTCTCAATTGTTTATTGATTTTACTCGTAGGTTGAAGCATTTTGTATACCTAGTTTACTTTTTGTATACACAGTTTACTTACCTGGGTTTTCAAAAGTAATGTATTATATGATACAGTAGACTGTGTTCACATACACACATGCACATACCCCATACCCCTTTTCCACAGCCTCCCTGTAATTGCACGCACCCTGCACCCTCTTTCCTCGGCCTTCCTGTGCTTGCACACATGCACCCCGTGCCCTCTTTCCCCAGCTTCCCTGTGATTGTTTGCACCCCGCGCCCTCATTCCCTGGCCTTTCTGAGCTCATGCCACACTGAGTATTCCTCCCCCAACTCATGCACAGCCTGCTCCAAACCTCCCAGGGCCTCCCTCACCCCTGCAGTTCCCCCACACTCCTTACCTGGGACTCCCTCTGCTTCTTGCTTAATAACCCACCCATCTTGTGTTACAACGACAACTGGGACTGCCTGGATTGCCATAGCTAAGTGATGCGGTCACGTCATGTTGTGCTTTATGACCACATTGCTTAGCGACCTCAATCCTGGTCCCAGTTGCAATCATAACTCAAGGACTACCTGTACTGAGACATGCCTATCACAGACTGTACCACTGCATTCTGAACCAGCTGAAGCCTTCAAATGGTCTTTAACCATCTAACCCCTTTTAGACTGTTGTAGTAATTGTGCTATGAGGTGACTAGGGCATTAGTGGCTGTTGATCTAGGAAAGGGCACAACTGGCACACCAGATGAAGCTGTATAATGGCCTTCCTGGCCACAGCTGCCACCTGCTCATTGAGCAAGAGCTGTAGGTCCATGAAGACCTTCAAATTGCATACCACTCTTGAATGGGGAAGCATTACCCCATCCAAGGTCAGAGATGGAATACCTCCAGATCTAGGTGGTTCTAATATCTACAGCCATTTGGTGACAGAACCTCAGTAGCCTCACTTGGCCATCCTGGGGTCAAAATATATAATTGGGTATTACCAGTATGCTGATGATACCAAACCCCAAATCCGCAAACTACCTCACCCAGCAGTTTTATGTAGATGTTGAATAGGAGGGGACAGGGTGTCATGCCCTCTGGCACTCTGCAAAGGAAGGGCCTAGGGACCAATCTCTCCCCACCCCAACAAATATCTACTGGAACCAGCCAAGGAAGAGAGCCACTGTAAAACAATGCTCCCATTCCCAACCCTTGAAGCCAGCCCAGAAGGATATTGTGGTCCACAATATCAAAAGCCACCAAAAGATCAAGGAGCATAAGGATGGATGCACCACCTCCACTCTGGCTCTACCACAGGTCATGTACAAGCATGTCTCTATACTGAATCCTAGCCTGAAATATGACTGAAGTAGATCTAGATAATCTGCTTCCTCCAGGGTCCTCAATAACTGCAGTCCAACAACCTGCAGCTCACTCCCAGGACACATACTGACCAGAATAGTCTAAAGGGCCCAAGGCAGCTATATCTCCACAAGCCAAATGTCAGGTGGCGGGGGAGGGAAGGCAGCAAGGAACCAAAGGCCATGCATGGTTACCTATCGGGGCTGCCTGATGTCATCATAGCATCCTGAATCCATGACGCCAACCTTCCACCAACAGTCACAATATTTGCATCAGCTCTCTGTTTCCAGTCTTTGCTCACCCTGGCTGATCTGCTGAGCCTATAGGCCCCAGCCACACCATCAGCACCAGCATCAGTACAATACAAAACACCCCTGGCCTCCAGAATCCAGTGTTGCTGAGGACTCCAAGGCCACCACAATATCCCAGTTTAGTTGTATAGACTGAGGTCTGATCTCAGTGATATAAGCTAGACCTTTTGAGGGTAGTTTGCCTGTTATAGAGATTGCATCAATATAAGAATGTTGGAAGAATGTAGAAATTTATTAAAATATTTGACAATATTTAAAATGCATTCAGAACTAGTGGATTGAACATTAGTACAACTACAGATAGTTCAGCCTTACTGGCCTAATGACTGGAATATAAATATTACAAAAATACTTCCAAAGAAGATGATTTTGAAACATGGCCAAAAGATCTAGCCTGAACATTTAGACCTTTTTTTGCACGATCTATTACATTTATATAAAATACTGTTTTGGGACACACATTTCCTTCTGTAATAAAAATATTGCTCACATTCCTAGAAACACATTTTCCTGCTTCACAGTTCCCTTTACTGCCCTGAAGAGCCTACAAAGGTCTAAACTTTGAGCTTTGACTTTCAGGAATAGTGTGGCCTGGAAGCTGCATTTGGAAGTACACACATATTTGTGGGATTCTAGAAATTAGAAGCTAATGCAAGTTAATGTATGTGTGGCTCATTAAAACAAATCTAAAAATCTTTCTCTGGTGTATCTTAAAAACAATATAATCTAGTCTCACTTCAGGATGTTTGCACTGACTTGTTAATCCAGGTATGTGTGCATGTGTTTCTCAGTAAGATGGTCAGTGTCCTTTTTTCCTCTGAGAAAACGTGATTCTGAGCAAGGATTTCAACAGGATTTCAAAATGTTATTTCCCTCAATGTGAGAGGGAGTTTCTCAATTTGCTGAATGTTCTCCATTCTGTGTACATTTACTGCCTTCAGTGCCTATATGAAAGGGAAAGGAGGATAGAAAACTACACTTTCCCCTGTGGTAGCCCTCTCTGCTAGTCACAGTGGGTGCCAGCCACTATTGGTGTGTGATATTGGTCGTATGAGAGCCATCTCCAGGAAGATTGCATCAGAGAAGGAAAAAATAGGACAAAAAAGTTGATTTTAACAACATTCATCTCCACCAGATCTGTTTTAAAATTAATGCCTTCTAATTGACCATTCAGGACAATGCTGTCCTCAAAGACATTCCATTAACAGGAATATTGTTCCTGAAAAAAATCTACCCTTCCTCTCCCTGCACCTACTAATAGAATTGCAATTAAGCTAATAGAAACAGCATTCTGAAGTGGGTGGTAGATGTTATCCCTGTTAATTTTTTTGTTTAATCTAGATTTTCCATACTTGGGAGTCCTGGTTCCATAATAGAAATAATAATAATAATAATAATTATTATTATTATTATTATTATTATTATTATTATTATTATTATTATTATTCAGAATTGTCAGCACTTATATTCATCTTAAATGGTTATCAATGAAAATCTGTCATTCAGTAATATATACTTATATTGTTCTACCCCCTATATTATTTTAACCTGAAAAGTTCCACTGTGATTGATTGACCTTCTCTAGAATAATCTGTCCCCAACCTGCCCTTCAGGTCTCCCAATGATGCACCCCATGCCATTGTAATCAAGTCTGTCTATCTTGTTGCTGGTTGCTCTCTTCTGCTCTTTCCTTCTATCTTTCCCAGCATTATGGATATCCAAAGGGACCTGGATCTTCACATAATGTTTTCAAAATACAAATAACTTGAGCTTGGTCATCTGTATCTGAGTGAGAATTCTGGATTGATTTTGGTCTGTGATCCATTTCCCTTGGCTATTCATGGTATTTTCAGAAGTATTCCCCAACAC